TTTTTTTTTTTTATTATTTTTTTTTTTTTTTTTTTTTTTTTATAATATAAAAAAATTTTTTTTTTTTTTTTTATAAAAAAAAAAAAAAAAAAATATTTTATTTTTTTGCTATACGCCCCCCCCCACAAATATTTTAATAATTTTTTTTTTTTTTTTTTTTTTTTTTTTTTTTTTTCTTTTTTTCCTATTTTATCAATTTTTTAAAAATAAAAAATATTTCTTTTTTTCCCCCCCTCCACCTTTTTTTCTAAATTTTTTCGCACTTCCCCCTTTTTTCCCCCCCTTTTTGGGCCCCTAATAACCCCCCCCACCCCCCCCCCAACAACCCCCCCTTTTTATAATATAGGGCCCGAAAGCGGCCCAAAACCTCCCCCTTTTTTTTCTAAAAACCGTTTAAAAGGCCCCTAAAAAGAGCCCGAACGGATACATCCTCCCCTACATACTCCTCTCAAGCCAGCGATAGATGGGTTAAACTAACATTCAAATATTGTAGTCACACCAAACGCGTCCGGTTCAGGCACATATCCCTTCCGCCCGTCTTTTGAACCCCTTACTAACGCCCCCAGGCCACCCCTCGACGAATCCGCTACTACTGGCAATCGAGGCCGCAAGCGAGCCCAACAGCTACCTACTACTACTCATAAACGCGTCGGAAAGCCCTCAAAAAAAGCCCGAACGAATACGTCCTCCCCTACATACTTCTCCCAAGCCAGCGATAGGTGGGTTAAACTAACATTCAAATATTGTAATCACACCAAACGCGTCCAGACGTCATATGCTCTCCACAATTTCACATCAAATCATCACTCAGCAAGCGGAGAACACCACTGTAACTTGGCCTATCATCCCCACTGCATTAAGGAGTAAGAGGAGGAACTACAACAGGCAAATGCGGAGAACACTACGGAGAAACCAAGCGGCAACAAGGCCACCATCGTCAAGAACACGGCTCAGCTCTCCAAGATCCCACGTCATATGCTCTCCACGGTTCCACATCAAATCATCACTCAGCAAGCGGAGAACACCACTGCAACTTGGCCGTTCCACATCAAATCATCACTCAGCAAGCGGAGAACACCACTGCAACTTGGCCTGTCATCCCCACTACATTGAGGAGCAAGAGGAGGAACTACAACAGGCAAATGCGGAGAACACTGCGGAGAAACCAAGCGGCAACAAGGCCACCATCGTCAAGAACACGGCTCAGCTCTCCAAGATCCCACGTCATATGCTCTCCACGGTTCCACATCAAATCATCACTCAGCAAGCGGAGAACACCACTGCAACTTGGCCGTTCCACATCAAATCATCACTCAGCAAGCGGAGAACACCACTACAACTTGGCCGTTCCACATCAAATCATCACTCAGCAAGCGGAGAACACCACTGCAACTTAGCCTGTCATCCCCACTACATTGAGGAGCAAGAGGAGGAACTACAACAGGCAAATGCGGAGAACACTGCGGAGAAACCAAGCGGCAACAAGGCCACCATCGTCAAGAACACGGCTCGGCTCTCCAAGATCCCACGTCATATGCTCTCCACGGTTCCACATCAAATCATCACTCAGCAAGCGGAGAACACCACTGCAACTTGGCCGTTCCACATCAAATCATCACTCAGCAAGCGGAGAACACCACTGCAACTTGGCCTGTCATCCCCACTACATTGAGGAGCAAGAGGAGGAACTACAACAGGCAAATGCGGAGAACACTGCGGAGAAACCAAGCGGCAATAAGGCCACCATCGTCAAGAACACGGCTCAGCTCTCCAAGATCCCACGTCATATACTCTCCACGGTTCTATATCAAATCATCACTCAGCAAGCGGAGAACACCACTGCAACTTGGCCGTTCCACATCAAATCATCACTCAGCAAGCGGAGAACACCACTGCAACTTGGCCTGTCATCCCCACTGCATTAAGGAGTAAGAGGAGGAACTACAACAGGCAAATGCGGAGAACACTGCGGAGAACACTATGGAGAACACTGCGGAGAAACCAAGCGGTAATAAGGCCACCATCGTCAAGAACACGGCTCAGCTCTCCAAGATCCCACGTCATATGCTCTCCACGATTCCACATCAAATCATCACTCAGTAAGCGGAGAACACCACTGCAACTTGGCCTGTCATCCCCACTGCATTGATATAATACATCACTGCGGCCTCTATAGAAAGAACATCGGACGATACATATTTGGACGAATTGAAACCGTCCGATATCTACAGCTATTTCATTATTCGAAAAATTTCCCTACGGCAGGAGATATTGTGGGATTCACACCACTAACTGGCACGTTGTCTCCATTTCTTTCCGGTATTTCGATACTTCTTGCCATAAGGACATGGCCTTTCTCTGTTTTTTGTGGGCAATTATTACGGATTAATCCTTCACACTCGATATATCTTCCTAATTAGGTCTTAGCGCGCCTCTCTCCGCATATATATATCTGTATATCACATAGATTAAATTAATTTTATAGTGGTGGAAGTAGGTCAAAAACGCACAGCAAGCGATCAGAGTTCGATTTGACTTAGAAAAATCCAACTCCATGAATTTAATTCATGGGCCTTTACTTGTAATTATTAATAATAATAATATAATAAATTTACTCTCTATAATCTTATATTAATTTATTTAATTAATATAAGAGAAGTTAATATAATAGATAAATATAAAGAATATTATAAAGAAATTAAATAATAATTAAAATTTTAATATTAAGAATATAATTTAACTCTTTAAGATTTTATAAAGAATATTATTATAATTTAATTTATTATTTTTATTATATTAAAAAGTAAAAGAAGAAATTATAATAAATAAATATAAAGAATATTATAAAGAATATTATAGAGAATATTATAAAGAAATTAAGTAATAATAAAACTTTTAATATTAAGAATATAATTTAACTTTTTAAAATTTTATAAAAAATATTATTATAATTTTTTTTTTTTTTTTTTTTTTTTTTAAATTATTAAAATAAAAAATTTTAATAAAATATTTAAAAATTTTTTTTAAAATTTTTTTAAAAAATATTTTAATAATATTTTTATTTTAAATAATTTTTATAATAATATTAAAATTTATTAATTTAAATTATTTTAAAAAAAATTTTAATTTTTTTTTTTTTTTTTTTTTTTTTTATAAAAAAAAAAAATAATTATTTTTTTAATATAAAAATAATATTATTAAAAATTTTTTTAAAAAAATTTTTTAAAAAAAAAAAATTTTAAAAAAAATTTTTTTTTTTTAAAAATTTATTTTACCTTTTTAAAATTTTATATTATATACTTTTTAATTTTTTTATTAAATTTTTTTTTAAATCTGAAAAAAAAAATTTTTTTTTAATTTAATCTATTAATTCTCTCTATATTAAATTATAATATATTATAATAATAATATTATAAAAGAATAATTTATTATAATAATAATATTTAATAAAGTCTTTAAAGAAGAAATATCGAATAATATATATTTAAATAAATTAAAATTATTTAATATCTTATTCTAAAAGCTATTTTATTTTTTATTATTAAAATTTTATTATAATAAAAGATAATATAAGATTTATACTACTAATTAGTATATTTTTTCTTTTTTTTTTTATATTTTTATACTTCTTATTATAAGAATATAATCTTTTTCTATTTTTTATTTAATTCTAGAATAACTTTTTTATTTTCTATTAAAATTTTAATTTTTTTTAAATTATAGAAAGAAATATAAGCTTTTAAATAGAAAGAATTTTTTAAATTTAATATTATAACTATTAAAGCGTAAGAAATTTAAATATTACTTATTAAAGATCGCTTAAAAACGCTAATCTATTTACTCGATAGCTTTAATTAAAAAAGAATAATTATAAATTAATTTATAAACCTTTACTCGTATATATTAATTAAATAAAAAACTTAAAGTTATAATAAGTATTTAATTAAGATCTTCGATAAGCTATTTAATATAAAAAAGTATTTATTAATTATTTATCTTATATATATATATTAATAAGAATTTAAAAATTAAGAATTTAATTAAAGTTTATTTAATAGAAGATTATATTAGAATATAATTTATATAATATAATTTTAAATATAAAAAAGAAAATAGAAGAGTATAGTTATAAAGATAGAAAAGTTAATAAGAGTTATTCTATATATTAATACGTAAAATATTAGATAAAAGTTCTTTTTAAATACTATCAGTATATATATTATTTTAAGATTTCATATTAAGCTCTGAGAGCGAAATAACGAGCGGCCGCGTGGCCTAATGGTTAAGGCGTTGGTTTTCGGCACCAAAGATTTGTGCGTTCGAATCGTAGGTATTATCTTCGTTAATGATTTCTGCCCTTCTAACATTTTCGAAGGCACCGTGGTCGATTCATGCTTTTGCGTCTTTTTTTTTTTTGCTTTTGCAACACCTACAAGACTGACTGACTCTACAGCGTCGCCTGCTTTGATGGCGACAGAAGAGGCTTGATAAAATCGACTCGCAAACTTCCTCGATGGCCTTCTACTTGTCCTCCTTACTCCACCCTCAATTGAAACGGTACTTCATTCAATTACATCACAAAAAGTGCTATCTGCTCGATCTACCATACCCTCATCCGCTGTCAGCGTAAGCAGTCCGACCGCCGAGGACATCACTCTCTACTTCATCGTATTCGTGCTATCTCTGCCTTTCCCAATACCATGGTTCAGAAACTCCAGCTCCTTGGCTCTTTTGCCGCCAAGGTCGGACTCGAGGGAACTTTACCCACCTATTCTTCCAAAATCCAGACTTGAGTTTTCCTCCAACGAAGAAGCCTTTTCTCTCTGTCTTTCTCTCCCTCCATATAAATACATTCCGCAATTCCAGACCCAACCGCCCACACTCACTCCACCTCGCTACAAGACTGCCCTCTGTCATCAGCGGACCGACACTCTCTGCACCACTCCATCGACCTTTGTTTGGCTTTTGTGCCGTCGCTCCCATATCAGCCCATTCTCATCTCATCCCCACCCAGCAAAGTCATGCTCGAACCCTCCGAATTCCTCGACTGCCTCCACACCATCTGGCTCTTCACCCAATTCGCCTTCATCGTCGTCTGCGCCGTCGGCGGCGCCGCTTGCCTGCTGGTCCTGCTCGTCTACCACGCCTTTCTCTGCGCCGGCGCGTGTGCCTACTGCATGATGAGTCGGGAGGGGATCGCGAGGTTGAAGGCGGAGAGGAGGGGGAGGCGAAGAGTGCTGAGAGTGGGGGTTGCTGAGGAGGAGGGGCGGGGACAGGAGGAGGAGCAGGGGTTGGTGACGGGGGAGGTGAAGCCGAGGGAGGTCGGGATGAGGTATGAGGTTTTGGAGAGTAGGAGTTATGGGACGCTTTCGCTGTGATTGGAGTGGGGAGAGGGGGCTTGGGCGGAGGGTTTGGATGTGGTGCTGTGATTGGAGTGGCGGCTACGAGGGTCAGGTAGAGTGGTGTGAAAACTTGAGACTTTGAGAGCGGATAATGCAGGTGTTTTAGTTTGTGGAACCAATACCATGGGACATACGAGTTCGATGCGGAAGATCCTGGCGTTGGCTGGTACGCCCCGGTCGCTCGGTTCCTCAAACCTTCTCACACGGACAGACCCTCAGACCTCTATCACGGAAGAAGCTCCAAAGAGTATTTCAAGACTTTTGAACTCATGAACACCAAATTCCCACACTTCGAGGACGTATTTGTTTTTTGGGTGCAACAGCAAAACGCTTGTCATCTTCCTCCAAACCAATACGTGACAGGACCTCATCCAACAGCCAGCATCATCTCCCTTGAACAAAGCTCCATCACCAACAGCAACAATGTCACGCACGCAGCCGACGACGTCACCCCTTCCCACGGACAACGCTGCCGGCTTCGTAGCCAACATTTTCCACAGCACCGCGTGCATCGAAGAAGCCTTTCGCCAAGAGGGCGGAGAGCTCCGGTACCTCGAAAAATGCTGGTCGGACTCTGCCATCTTGCAGTTCATCCTCCTCGGCTGGATAGGCATTGTGCTCAAGGTCTTGCTCTTTGTCCTCCTGGCGACATTTCTTGCGTCGTGTATACAAGGTCGACGGCCGTGGTATGTATTTGTGTCGTTCGTCAAAGGGGCTGGGAGCATTCTTGGGGGCCTTTGTTCGTGCTTTGAGTTGGATGATGAGGAGAGGCAGAGGGAGATGGCAGGGGAGACGGAGAAAGGGTTGGGTATCGTTTGGCAGGAAGAGAGAGAGGGCGGGGGATACTTTGGGAGCCCGAAGGAAAAGGTGCTTATAGAGAGTTCGAAGCAGAGCTTGACCCATGTGCTGACTTTGAGGAAAGGTCTAATTCGGCCGGAGAAAGCGGAGAGTGAGGCCAAGGCCGGCGAATGAGCTGGCGTGGGATGAAGCCTTTAGAAAGATTGAATAGAAGGAGAAGCAGGGGATGACGTCGACCGTGGATCATCGTAAACGTTGTGCGCTTCATTTTGCTTCTGAGATGGAAAAAAGGGGGGGCTAGTAAAATGGGGCCCGTCGGAAGAGGATGAATTGAAAGTTAATGTAAGGACTGTGAAGAGACTGCGGGAAAAGGCGAATGGTAGTGAATATCTTGCTCGGACCTTGCAGAAGGTCGCAGGCACAGCAATCACGAGTGGGCACGGCAGACAGATGACATATTCTCAAAACTCTCACCCGTTCCCATCCTCTGCAATAACATATCGCTTAAACAGATCGTGTGTAACATGACGTGACAGTGTCGTCGGCGCTCCTTTTTAGGGGCTGGTATCCATGAGGGACACCCGGTCCGAAACAAACGTGATAAAACTATATTGACATGAAGATATACTTTAGATTTGTGTGATGTCGAAATTCCGCTGGGATTATGTCGTTCACCCCAAAGAGTGCTCTAAGTTATAATCGAGAACGGAAGGCAAGAGACAGGAAATGGCTAACAATCAGGACAAGGTGCAGCCACCTGCCCACCAGCCCGACTCCCTCCACAGCTCGCATACCGCAATCTCTCGGTCTGTCGATAACGAGCGCATAGCTCTATGTAGGTGAAGATCAGAATGGCCATTGGTGGAGACGATGTCTAAGTGCCCCGTTTCAGGCTGATCTCCTAGGGGAACAGTGGGGATTGAAGGGGCCTCTGAGGGAGAATGTACGGCACTGCCAATGGTGGCAGCGGTAGATTCCGTGCGTCTTAAGATCTCTCGCGCAGCAAAGACACAGCCACCGTACGCAAATCGGATTAGCGAGTCCCCAGTCAAGCTTCCGATGGCAAAGACACCCGGGGCGAGTTCCAAGCTCTTCTCGGCTCTAGACCTCAAGGTAGGGCCGGAGATGGCGGGTCGAGGATTCATTGTTTCATCCAGCGTACCAAGGACTTCCCTTGCAAGGCTGTTGTCGAGGTAGTTCAAAGACCCTCGCCTTCCAATCACATATTCCATATTGGAGATCTGTCTTTGTAGCATCGTTCCGTCTCCTATTTCTAGGCTGACATATGCAGTTTCGCCAGATACCGCAACATCCTTGATGTAGGTATTTGGTAGACCTTCGTAGAAGTTGTCCCAATCACGCTCCGCGAAGAAGGGATTGGATTTTCTTCTCCTTAACGGAGAGCTATTACCGCTGCCGCCTAAGACTTGTTTTGCAGCTAGCTTCATGCGCCTGTAGACACCCGCGTACTCAGGGTATGCGCGTGGGTGACATGCTCGGAGGGGCGAGGGACGATTCTCAGGATCCCACTTGAAGATGTGGATGATCTTGCGATTAGCCGGGGTGGAGATGATGACGTCGGCAGCGGTGAAACCCGAGCCGACGACGAGCAATGGTACATCACTCAAGACATTGGGCCTAGGCACGGCGTACAGTGGAAGTAAGGACGGGCGTGGAGGGATCAAATTGGAGAAGATGCCGGAGGCCAGGACGAGATGTCTGCATGTGATGTTGTGCGACCCAACGTGGAAGCCAGCGTGAAGTCTGCGAATGGCTCCCACTTCCACATTGGTGTAGACCGAATCCTGAATTCCAGTCTCTTCAGAATATGCCGCAAGATATCGGGCGACCTCTCGTCGCGTTGGTCGGTGGAATTTGGGTACCGCTCCATCTCTTGTCTTTTTATAGTGCTCCTCGAAGCTATAGCCTGGGAGTGACAGCATCTCAGCGTAGCTCAACGCTCCAATGTCCCAGCTCGCGGATACCGGATTGTCTGCCCATTGCCCACCAACTTGGGCAGTGTCGCCCAAAACCACATGTGGCACCTTCTTCCCCGGCTCAAGCCTCCATTCCAAACATGTATTGTATTCCTCAGGAACTGTATCGGCCAATGGGCGGATCAAGGTATCGAGGAGGACATTGATGGGAAGGGCTTGGGATGAGTTGAAGAGACGCGAAGCTGCAAAGTGAGCGGTGAGGTCGTACACATCAACATCGAGGAGGCAGGGCGACTCTGAGAGCTTCTTGTGCAGGATAGGATCTGGATGGGGACTGGTGGGGTTGTAGAAGGGTGTGTTGCCGTGGAGGATGAAGGATAGGATGAGGGCGGAGGGGCCGTTGCCGACGATGACGGTGTCGACATGTGCTGGGAGAGCCTTGACGGCCATGCTGTAAGGGTGGGCCATGCCTGGGCTTGGTCCTCATGAAGAATGAAGATGAGTTGACATGGTGTAGTGCTTCATCGTGGAAGAGTCACGGTTGATGTGGTGGGCCAGTGATAGTTTGGAAGGACAAAGCCTTGTCGAAGCTCACAGCCCACATCTTCTTTTTTTTTTTCTTTTTCTCAGGAGAAAGTTGTGAAGTGTTGGAATGAGGAGATCAGATAGATACTCATTCCCACGCTTCTTACTGCCCTTTGACTGAATGAATTTGTAAGCGGACATAAGGATACCCTCGAGACAATCAGATACCGAGCCCATTGGCCAATCACGGAATCACGGTGGATGGTGCCTCGGATCGGAGGAACGATCTTCCGATCCCTCGGCTAGTCATCCCTATTGCATGAATGTTTAGGTACTCTAGACGTACCGTATCCTTACTTTGCCCGCAGAAACGTGCAGTATGTTCTAAGTTTGATGGTCTTCAATCCTGCAGAAAATCATCCAAGGTGACTCTACGCTGGGGCCGAAAGGTGTCAAAAAAGGTTTGTGACTGAGGCTCTCAAGCTTCCATCTGGCGAGTTGTGTGGTAGAGGGTTTTGTACCCTGGTAACCCCTCAGGCCTGAGTGGAACGAGGATCACTGTCACTGGTTGTGCAACAGCCACTTTTCTTTCCTCTTTTCTCTGTCACTCTCTTTCTTTCTTTCTTTCTTTCTTTCTTTCTTCCATTCTTTCTTTCTTTACGTCTATCTCCTTACTCTACTCCACTCCACTGGTCACTACCAAATATAAAACCCTCAAAGGAACTAATCATGTCTCAACCCAATTCCGCTCATCCTTTCACCAAGCTCACCCATAGTGAGCCCTACTCTGCCATCTCATCATCCCGGCCTTCCCTATCTGCCAAGGGAAAAACCATACTAATTACAGGCGGGAGTGAGGACATCGGCTAGACTATAGTTGCAGCTTTCGCAGCTGCGGGAGCGGCCAACATCATCAGTCTGTCGCGCAGAGCCGAGCTGTTGGAGGAAGCCAAGAAGAAAATCGCACAAGCACACTCCGCCACCCATTTCCACACCTTTCCTGTCTCCATCGATGACGCCGACAATGTCAAATCCATCTTCGCTCAAGTCCGAGCCAGTATGAAGGAACCAGATGTCCTGGTCCTTTGTGCCGCGCATGGCCATCCGCCACAAAACCCTTGAGCGTACCAGTAGACAGCTTCTGGAAGGATTTCGCGATCAATGTCAAAGGCAACTTGAATGTCGTGACCGAGTACTTACGCCCGGAGACCTTGATCAAGGAGAAGAAGATCATTACCGTCTCTACTACTGGAGCGCACCAACGCATCCCAGGCATGGCAAGTTACGGAGCGAGCAAAGAGGCCCTCGTGCACATATTCATGCACCTTCAAGAGGAGCACGCCGACAAGCGTGTTCGCATCACCAGCTACCATCCAGGCGCTATCCTCACGCCTGGCGCGAAAGCTTATGGGTTCGAGACATACCCCATTCCTTGGGAGGATGGTGAGCAGGACTCGGTCTGCAAAATGGATGGTACAAGCTAACGCCTTTTTAAAGTCAACCTCCCTGGCCAATTTGCTCTCTGGCTTGCGTCCAAGGAGGCCGATTTTCTGGTTGGCCGTTTCGTCTAAAATAGTTTTTTTTTTTTTATCCACTCGGACGTTGATGAGCTCAAAGCGAGGGCCGAGGAGTTCAAGAACAGCGACCCTCTCAAGATTGGTGTCATTGGTGAGCCTGCTGCGCAAGCCAACGTGAAGAATACTACAACATAGAGAAGTTTGAGGATAGAAATATCATGCTTCATCTCAGAAACGAATTTCGATGTAGTCATATGTGTCGTCTCGTCGGAATCATTGCAAACCCACAGCCATCAGCCTACAGTATTGATCTGCCCAAAATCATTTCCTCATCTCTTCATTTGAGCTACTTCCTCATTGCCGGGATTCATTCACAGGAATCGCCACGGATTTTAGTCATTCCTTTCCAGCTTCACCGTGCGGATAACCTTTTCCAAGAGACATCTCCCAGTACTCTAAACCCCATCCATCAAACTTTCTTTCTTCCTACACACTCTCTTATACACCAACACTGTTCTGCAATTTTCCTTGGAAGTATGACAAGACCTGCCCGTATCTCTAGATACATACACCATGTACACGCATTCTCTGAATCGAAGTATTCACATTCGACACCTAGAAAACTCTTTAACATGATCAAGATGACAAAGGTTAGGCAAGTAAGTACTGCTTGTTTGGATGGGAAAGACTGGACTGTTACAAGTTACGGCTGATACTAGCTAATTATCTCTCATACTAATTGATACCAAGCCGCTCGCGGTCAAGCCTGGCCGCTATGGGGGAGTGCTCGTTAATACTGTTGGGGACGTTCAAACTGGTGGTGACCAGTGCGAATATTGCCAGAACCAGGTCGGCTTGTTTGCGGACTGCGTCACTTCGATAAAAGGAAAGGTGGTTTCTGCGGGAACTGTTACTTCCAGGATCGCACTTCCCTCAAAACTATTCACTGTTCGTTGTTGGAAGTCGACGGCCATAATGTACTCTATATACCCAATCCCACGGGCATGGGCGGAACTAGAGTTCTAAACATGCCAACCAAGGAGACGATCGTGGATGGATACTCTCTGCACGATGCGGCGAAAAAGGATGACAATGGGTACGATGACCAGACAGAGGAGCCACACGGTACTCTGAAAGTGATAAAAGAGAAGCCAGAAGCGAAAGTTCAACAGGAGGAAGTCACGCCAGTGGAGTAGCCGATGGCAGCGGGGACAAGGAAAAGTCGACAGCCAAAGAATGCACCCGGCCACTAATTTCATGCAATCAGACACAGAAGGACCTTTCCCCTTCGGAACAGGGTCTTTCCCCCCAGAGCCACTCTTCCTATTTACATCTCCTCGCATGCAATCGAAATCCTCCTGCCGCACCCCCAACGAATTCGCCTAAACGCCACAAAAGCTCGGGCCACGCATGGATTAGCCAAAAGGCAATTGTATGACTCAGTTATTCTACACGAAGAAGATCCTGCCTTGATACCCCAAAGAGCTGCAGAAACCCGGGCGAACAACGGGTAGAATGTGCATTGTTCAAAGTCACGGCACGCGCTCAGCAATGAATTACGAACGGGCGCATAAACGGAAGCATGACATCGAGACTCTAGAACATCCGGGGCAGTCGCCGGACCAGAACCCTATGGAAGCCCTGTAGAACAGAGTTCGCCGTAGGAAGTGGAAGACATAAATGACTCAGAAAGAGTCATTCTCCGGGTCTTGGCTCTGGAGGCAGTCCAGGCCAGAACCGATGAGATGCCTGATTGATGGGTTTAGCTTGTGAACAATGGTGGTAAAAGTATCAAGTCAGCAACATGGTGAACGAATAGCTCTAGATAGACAGAAGTATAGCAATTCGGTCATGAAGAAGCTCTTTTTCAATCCGGAGAGAAGGGGAAAGACTCGATGATTGGTCACTTGAAGCTCTACGCCAATGTCGCGGAGTCAAGCAGTGAGCAGCGCTGTTGGGCTTTATGAGGGTATGTGCACTGACTCATTGATACAGATGACAACTCCTTATGTCTATTCAACTACGGTATCCTCTGACACGATCAAAATTCATCCACGCCTGACCCATCATCAGCACCCTCTGATACGCAGCTCTCGCTCCCTGATGGTGAGACGATCCCATTCGACCGACTCCACGCTTTGCTGATAAGGTCTAGAATACGACTAAGAGAATAGTAACATTGAGGATCACGAGGATGACTACGGTTCCGAGTCTAGCAAAGATGGCAGGGCAGACTCCATCGGAAATTTCCAACCACCGAGAAGCAATGCCAGACAGGGCCCAAACATTGAGGCTGTTTGCGAGCTACATCCGTATTCCGGGAAAGTACGAGAGCGGTTTGAAAAAAAGTGGGGAGTCGAGGCGCAAAATTGGCTTGTAACTCCAGAATGTGGCAGAGGTGGAGGAATCGGAAGCGAGTCTCCCAACCAATCTCAAAAGGAGCGATGATTAAATCAGAAAAGCCCACCAAGATGTTGACAAAAATCTATTTGGAAGTCATTTACGAAGATTCGCATCTACACATGGCTCTAAGTACACAAATGATCTACATTCGGAGGGTGACAGTAGAAGGAAAAGTCTTTAGAGTAGAAGAATCAGAATCATGGCCAAAAGATATCTACTCGCGAAAAAGAAGGATAACGATCTCGATCTTGAGGAGATAGCCCTTCACGATAAGTTTGAGATTGTGTTTTGCCGAAGACGATGATCGCCATGAGATAAAGCTCAACGAGTGACTTGCAATTTCAATAATCACCAACGCAAAAGCTGCGACTAACATGCAACAGGCTTGATTTTACACCTCGTGCACTGTGTGCATCTACCGGAAAGGACGATCCAACCAATATACCCCGCTCGCAGCAAACTTTTTCACGAATGGCTTCTCGCGCGAAGGTGAAAGACATCACCTTCCGACCGCTCTTCTGAAGGTATCAATCACTTCCCGAACCAGGCTACAGATCTTCATGCATGATTTGCCACGGATTAAGAGTGGTTTTCTATCAAGGCCCTCGCCAGCTTAGTCTAATGCCACAACGAGCGACGGAAAGTTTGCTGGTTGATGGTTGGTACTTAGTTGGTGATTAGGGTGGTGGAGTAAGAAAACAAAGTGCTAGGAAAGTAGGCTGCGCTTCCACTAGGATATGAGCTACAGCTCGAACAACTAGCTCAGCGTTGACTTGCTACCCCTCTCACGGTTCTTGAGATTGTGAAGACTTTGGTACGGTTTCCAGAAGAGCTTTCAAGAGCCTCTATATTGCGATATTTTCTCGGCACGATGCAAAAGCTACTGCCAAAACCTACACTATATCAGCTTGAAGGAGACCAGCATAAAATCCTTGAGTTTCCCGGCCTTGCTAGTAATCAGGAGAGTCTTTACGAAAGTACGAGTACTCCGTAGAACAAAGAGAGCCTTCGTAGAGCTGAGCTACTCTAATCGTCACGTGATGACACGAGTGCCAAGAGTGCCAAGCCCCCACTGAGCTCGGAGCTACCCCTCCGAGCCCTCCTCTATGCCCTCCTGCCTTCACCATCTCTATGCTTCAACATCTTTTCACTCTCCATCCTCACACCACTGCTTTGGATGTTGTCCCCCGGAGCACCCTGAGCGGTAAAGAAACCCACAATGTTGGACCATCCAGCAGCTGACCGAATCCCATGTGAACAGTGGTCGCCTTCACGCCTTTACCCAGCTTCCCCAGCTCACAGCAGCCTCTGCCCGAGCAGTCTCACCTTTCCTCCATTGTCTCTCCTCACAACAAAATACCACTGTCCGAAGACTCAAGCTAGTCGACTGCGAGAGCGATTCATCGTATCCCCAGCCAATCTCAGGAAGTACCCAGTCATAGCGCGGCAGGAACCATGGATGCCACCGCAGGCCTCAAGCGAAAGCCGGAAGCTGGGCAGACAGAGGCTAGAAAGAGGCGGGCAACAGAAAGCCCATGCCGAGACGTCCTTGAGATGGAGGGTGATATTGGTAGTGACAAGGATATGATTCAAGAGCGGAAATAAGCGTGTTGCTTTTATGGAGCAAGAAGATGAGCATCCACAGCCTTTGTAGCTCAACGGTTGAGCGGAGAAATAAGCGACTCGGACGAGGAAGAGGAGGAGGATGAGGATGAGGATGATGAGTTTACACGAGGAGTCCTTGGGGGATTTCAACGAGCTTAGCGAGCAAAGAGACAGCGTTGAAGACGACGAACGAGGGCGATAAGGACGATGGGGACTATGAGGGTCCGAGGAATTCAAGTGGCTCAAATCTATCAACATCCCAATCAAGGCCGACGATTCTGCAGACTCTCCTCGAATTGGCTTTTGTGAAGCCAAGCTCACTGATCGCGACTACATCCGAGCCACCTTCCATCGTGACATTGAGGAGCCCTCAAATGATACTGCGACTGTTGGGTTTGGTGTCTTCAACCGATGAGGCTGCCTCAAGCCCGAGTTTCTGAATCATCCTGTCAAAAAGGGAACAGGTGTATGGGGGCCGGAGCTGAACGACCGACGATTCCTGCTGATTGAGACCCTTTCTATTAAGGAGACTATCAGCGAAAGGGCTATGGCAAGAAGCTCTTTGAACAAGTTTGGGGAAAAGCCCAGAATCTCGCTATGCAAGAAGACAAAGACCGCAGGGCTGCTCGCAAGGGGAGACTCGAAGAGGTCTGGGAAGACACCCGCACCGAAGGCGAGAAGCCCACAGAGACCGACGATGATTTCCTTGATCGATTGACAAATCTTCCGACCGGATCAGAAAGCCGCGTTTGGTTGCAACTTCGCTATTGTCTGGGCCACTGTTCTGAACACCAGTGAGGTCGAAGCTGAAGCGGATAAGCTCTCGTCCACTGAACGGGAGCTATTCTATCAGAGTAAGCAGGACGCCTTGGAGGACTTCTGAAGAGCCATGGGGTTCCGGCGCATTGGCTCGAGCTCGTTCTTCTGCTTAACAAAGAATCCAGGTCATGCCTCTCACTACCTGCTGCCACGAGATGACTATACACGCCCTGCCGCTCTAGAAGCGTCTGCTCGTGCAGAGGGTCAAGACTTCCCACTCATGGATCCTGTTTACGACCCGAACGCTTGGGAACAGAAGAAGTACAACGATGCTGAAACAAAGGAGCTGCTGGAGGCTCGCCTTCAGTCTTACCCTGGGACGGACCCCACATGGATTTCTTCTGATAGACATAACAACAACATACTGCACGTCTTGGCTCGGACAGCCAAGTCGAGTCGCTTGCTTGGGCTCTTAGCCTACCTTTTGCTGATAACCTACGATCGGCTCGCAACCTTGAAGGAGAGACACCGTTGGATGCATTGAGATGTCCGCTCGGGTCAAACAGAACATGGAAATAACGCAGATTGGCCGAGGTCGTGATGTCGGATCTATTCTCAGGTTTTACACCAAGTCAAGTCGAATGTCTTAGGCTGCTAGAGAACCTAAATCTCTCTGCTGATGAGCTGATACGCCTCGCCTTCGGGTGCAATTGTGGACAATGCCTAGGCGGGTCTCTGAGCCCTCGAAATCTGTTTGCCCTTCTCTGTCAGGCTGAGATAAATCATGATATGCTCAACGATGAGTCATATACCAACTATATACCTGACATGGACTGGTGCCAATGGCGAAAAGACATGTTTGAACATCTTGTTCCCAGCGTCAGAGCCAATTTACGAACAAACAAAGTCTTTGCGCCAGGGCTTCACAGATCTTTTCGGCCACGTCGCTGAGATGCTACGAGCCAAGAAGCTGCCCTTGACGGATGCTGTCCTCCACTACGCGGCAGGTGAATGGCCGTCCCACGTCAAGAATTTCCTGCAACGAGGCGGAACAGTATACGCAGTCGTGCAAGCCTGTTTTGACTGTGCCATGAATCAAGACATCTACCTGGGGGACGGCGAACATCACCTCACCTTCCAAAAAGACATTGACGCAATGCCAGCCTGCAGAAACGATGGAGAATTCGTCTTCGCCCGCCGTCAATGTCGGAGATTGGAAGGGTTGCCCGACGAGGTAAATCCGAGAGTCGGGATAGGAGGAACCTGGGATGGGTTGGTCATTTCACGGCACTTTTGAGAGTCTGCTTCTGTTCGTTTTGCTTGCTTCTATGCTGAGTTCGAAAGCTCTTCGTCTCTGGCAGTCGTGTTAGAAGGGTGCAGGGACTGGCTGGCGAGAGTATCTTCATGACGAGCTTCAATTGCACTGCTAGCAGATCATATAACATTGCAAAGCTAGCATGTCACATTCTCAGTATAGCTACTTTCGCATCCCAATCCACTCTGCTCCATTGCTTGAGGTAGTATCGCTGGCCCATCTCACGCCCAAGCACTTGGTCGGTACCGCATGGAACATTTCCCTGTAAGTGCGCGTCTTACGCTTTCGAGCGGTATATATTGGTACGTGACACATATCAGTCGCTTTGTCAAGCAAACGTGCCCTTACCTACCTACAGCACCACGACTCTCTTGCCGTTGCTCCGCTTACCCCAAAGGACGACACGTATGCAAGTGAAGTGCCTCTGTCAATCTTTATCTCTCCACCCAAAAGACGAGTCGCAAACGGTTGATCGTGAAGCTATCTTGTTCCAATACCGTGACATCTCATATCGATCATTCACTTCAAACCTACCATCGAGGAGCCGAAGCAGCCAAAGTACTTTTCAGCTTTACCAGTGCATATGGAACCAAAATCTTAGGATATGCTAACGGAGACGGAGCCCCATGATAAGCTCCCCGCGTCCAGTGCCTCCACCAGCAATCCTACGTCCAACGAGACCTGACTTCAGATGTATTCCTGATGGGCGATGAGGCAAGAGTATCATATATGTTGTTCACGGACCTTGGTATCGCTCGGATACTCGCCTTGTGGGAGTAAGACTTGGCACACAATGGGTCATTCTCGAGGCCCAGTCCCTAGTCAGGGAGAATTGGAAAGGTCAAAGCTATGGATGGATGCACACGGAGTCTCGATATGTCATTATTTGACACTCCATGTTTGGTATAAAGAAACAACAAGACAATTTGCTACGGTTGTTCAAGTGTTTCCATGACAAACAATCAGATCAGAGCCTCCCTCTTCGGCCGTTGTCGTGGTCAAAGGCCCCAAGTACGCCGCGGGCACGTCCTCACTTGGAATCCCATTCCCTCCGCAGTCGTCTGCCTCATAGCCATACTGTGGCTTGCACAAGTTCCACCCATACTCACCGGTAAATGCGCAATCCTTGTCCAGCGGTGCGCACGACTGGTCCCAGACGCAGACCTGCACATTACTGATGCATCGCGGGACCAAGGTGACCGGGTCCAAGGTCGGATCGTTCGCGCCTCCGTACACGGCCACGTAATCGGCGCAGGCTTTGGCGCCGAGGAACAAATCGGCGCCCGTGGTCCAGCCGTTCGAGAAGAGGGTTTCCATCAGATCGTAGTAGTTGATCTCCATGTTGCGGAGAGATGACAAGCCGAAGGCTGCGTTGGTGTCCGGGTCGTACCACCAGGCGCTGCAGACGCCGTATTGGTCGTATGAGCCACATTGGATGAGGTCCGTGGTGGTCATGGACCCGTTGCTGGCCAGCTCCTGCGGGTTCGTCTCCCGCGCCAGAGTGATGATGATGTTGCTCGCCGTCAAACAGGACGACACAATGTACGTTTCGAGGGCCTTTGTCAGGTTTGTGGTTTCGGCTTCCAAGGAAGCGCGGGGTGCGATGAAAGAACCATTGGCTGCGAAGAGATTGAAGCTTGTAAAGTCTTGTTGGACCAGAGCGAGCGCGTTGGAGATATTCTGCTGGTATGTCGTCTTGATGGTGCTGAGACCGTCGTAGATGTTGCTGATTTGGACTACCTCCGAGTCAAGCGTCCCTGTGGGATTGAGCTGTTTGAGTAACCCCGGCGATTGCCGCATGGCTGTCTCGGTGACGGATGTAACAACCTTCCCAAGTTCGGCGGGCAGGGTAAGCAAAGGCGCGAAAGCTGTCAGTGCTTGCAGGAAGTCCCCGAGAGATTGTTCCTGCTGCACTTCCGGGTTGATGGTTTTGACAATCTTGCCCACGGGGCCGCTGGCAGACAGATCTGCGTTCTCGATCGCTTCGTAGATGGATTCGAACCATTGCCATATAGCGAAGATCGTGTAGAGGGTATAAGCTTGTTGCGGGGTGTACCCAGTGAAGTTTTCGGGATAGTCGCACATGTTCGGTCCCGTGGAGTCGCACTGCTGTTCTTCCACTCCGACTGACTGCTGATAGCATGACACGAAACTGGTGTTTGCACCGCTACATGCTGCTTGATTGGTTTGCCACCAATCAGTCAAAAAAGTTGCCATTCCCAGCTCCTCCCAGCATGTCTGCGTGAGGTTTTGTCTGAGATCCGTACAGTTGCCGACATTTCCTTTGGATAAGATTGGATATGTCGATGATGTCACAGGGGAAGCATCCGATGTCAAAATGCAGGTAAGGGTGGCGTAGAGCAGAAGCAGCCACGATCTGAGCATCGCTTTAGGCGGTGTAGTGTCTGGCTAGGAGCAAAATTTGCAGCAAGTTGGTGAACTTGAACAGGCGTAATAGAGAAGGTGGTTCGTTGAGAGTCTGACGGTAGAAGAGGGTTGAGAGCAAAACGAAGGTGTATAGATACTTTACCTGAAGGCAATGACTGCGTTGCTTGAATGATAAGATAAAGTTGCTCGAGGCTGACTTTATACAAGCTGACGGCACTGACGCATCTCAGTGGCTCTTACCTAGACTTCCGTTGGCTTACCGCTCATCCATCTATGGTTTGTTCCACAAGAGTGGGCTACAATCTCTTCATTCCTACAAGGTTCAAACAGGTTGGGAAATTGAAGCTGAATGCAGGATCTGACCCACCGCCACGTGGGCATATGGATTGGGTGGAGTATCATACACCAGGAACCCGATCGCGGCCAGTCTAACGTAGGGTTAGGAGCGAGGACGGAAACTCGATCAAGCCAACGGGGGAATTTTCGTGGGATGCGGCAACCCGGCAGAGTGGGTACGATATGGTTGCGTCGAATACGAGCTAGGACTACCATTGTCGAATATTTTGCCATTGTGAGCCCACGGGCACAGCGAAGAGCGTACACAATATAAGCGCAGGTTCGCAATTGGCGCAGCGCTTACGCTACAATAAAATTCTGCCCTGATGCGATGTTTCAGGGTCCGCAGAAGGGTGTTCGAAGGGCGTTATCGGAGCAGGAAGGGTCTCGTAGTTCGAAGGTCGAATTGGATTTGAGTGAGATACTCTAGTATAGAGCGGGTATCGGTGATCCTCTGCCAACTCGGTGAGTGGCGTGGGAGGTGCCATGTGAGCTTCGGGAGATGGACATTTCTCTCCTGGTGTTGTTCTCGCAAGAGAACGGTTAATGTACGCTTTACATGATTGGCTTGATCGACCTGAACATGCAGACAAAAAGCGGCCGGTTCCTGTCATGGATGCGCGTAACTTTGACGTTCAATCCGCATTGTTGCTCAACGATGCTCCTCTTATCTAAATACATACGACCACATTCCATGTGCTATGCCGGAACAATATTAAAAGAGAAGCATGATTCATCAAGAAAAGAAGAGAAGGCTCTGTGAGATGAATGGAAACCTCCTTGTCGGTAGCTTCTTGGCGTTTCTCGGTGTGGGTGCGCGTGGGGTGTAAATTGGGCTCCACTTGTCAACATACGAATACTGGTCAAATCAAGCCGTGCAAATTGACAATATAGCAGTTTCCACATTCGCTTTATTTCTTTGATCGCTCATATGTCCTCCTCGTCCCGGTTGATGTCCTGGGCTGTTGGAGCTCTCGAAATGGTCTCACTATCACTACTGTCACCTCCCAAATCCTGGCTGATTTTCTTTACCATATACTCAATCCGTCTCGTAGCATTTTCGAGAGCGTCTAGTCTGCCTGTCAATCCATTGTTATCGTGTCCGTGTAGCCATTCTCCCAAGCCATCCATCGCCGCCATCGAATCCTTCCGCTTCGCTGTCTTCGTTGGGATTGTGCGGTGGCCTTCTGATCTATTTTCTGTTTTGCCGTTAAGGCTGATAGACGGAACCGCAAGACTTCCAGGCCGAGGATTCTCTTCGGCTTCAGATATCTCGTCCAAGACCGACTGAGGCGGGTCAGAGTCAAACACTGCTTGTATGTCTGCGTGCACCGAGAATCGTGAGAAGTCCCAAAAACTAATCTTGGTCTTAATTTTCGAGGGCTTCGTGCTCCACAGACGCCTGCGTTCGTACACGCTCAGGAGCAGTAGAAGCGGAGCATTGACTGTTCGCACAGCTGCAACGTTGATCTTGTGGAACCAGCGCGGAGTAAGGACCATCTTGAGTGGTAGCAGGAGGCAGAGTGCCAGAATATTGAAAGGGGGCTGGTAAGCAAAGATTGCATCGCTCTTGACTCCTTCAAAAGTGAGGACTGCTCTTCTAAATTGGATCTCGGCTGTCGCGTTGGATGCGATCTTGGAGAAAGTGCTGCTGAGCATCGATACGAGGATGGTAAGAAAGAGAGTATTGCCCAAGAAGGCAAACGTGACCATCAGGATCGGGCCAATAAGCCAGTGGAAGTCGACTGATCTTTGAATCCCGGTCCCATCGAGGCCGAACCAGACCCACAACATCCATTTGGAAATGGTGATCGGCGGATGATCACCCTCGCCAAGCCACATCATGCTAAGAAGAAATCCAGCAAAGCACCACACAGCCAGCAAGGTAAGAACTGTGAAATCGGCCATCATGGCTCGTAGAGAGACAAAAAGCATGTTCTCCGAAAGCAGGTTGAAGGCCAAGCGCGGTATCAGCACAGGTGCCCCTGCCGACAAGATATCGAGTGCTGGAATACCGGAGCGAATGTCGCCTGTTGCCAAGCTGTGTATCCGAAGAACAAGGTAGACGACGTAGATGACAATGAACATGAAATCTAAGAACGCCCAAAGGTTCTGCGTATAACACTGCCATCCGTGCTCTAGAATGGAAGCGACTTCGTCCAGTGCCCAGCCCGTAGCGTACACGCAGAACACAAGCTCATACGTAGTGAACTTATCGCTCTGACGGTGCTGCATAGTAAGTATGTACAGTATCAGTAGGGTCAGAAACTGGCAGATGTCGAGAGCGTTCCTTGTCCGGGGGACCATGAGCCTATATTGATTGAGCCTTGGCGCCTTTTTAGGGTGGTACAACGTGATCGGCTTATACTTGTAATGGTCCGGTATTATATCAATGAAAGATGAGGGCGTGTAGACAACGCGCCCAAGGTAGATTGCCTCCATGACCTTTTGACATGCCGGCGCGCTCAAGAAAATCTTACTTTCCGAGACGATAGCGATTTCCAAGACTGTCGATTTCCCAATTCTGTGTCCTCGCTGTTGAACATTCCACGAGGTAGCATAGCTATGGACGCGTTTGATCTCTTGCGGTGCGTTTTGAAATGGTTCAAATCCGGCCACTAGTATGTTCGCAAGTAGGAGCAGACCATCGCGTTCTGGATTCTCTTCGTCGAAACGCCTGAGTAACTTCAGAGCTACCAACTCGCAAAGAGACGCTCGAGTGGTATTGATGGTTTGATGCGCCTCGAAGGCTTGTTCCCGAAGGAACTGCAGCTTATTGACAAGCAGACAGTAGATGATGGAGACATCTTTCTCGTCCCAGAGACGGTTGACCAGAGGTCTTACGATGGCAACATTGATCCTTGGTGCCCTGAGTTGCTCGATGCTGTAGGGGTCGTCAATGCTGTTGATGACCTCGTGCCGAACGCGATGGATGGTTGTGTAAACGGGCAAATCTGCGTAAGGATTTGGGGCGCAGGGTCCTTCATAATGATCAGGGTGATCACACTGCTGCTCTTCCTCTACAAGCAAAGGCTCCTCCTCTGCTTCTTCCTCTTCGCTGAGGTTTGTTGTTCTTGTCATGGCAATTCATGTGCCATCCGATGCATTTGGGAAGGCTTTCGGTTTAAATACAGCATTGAAGAATTCCCCGCACGGAAAAAGCCGGCGCCGGAATGCACCAGGTTCATTAAGGTTAAGGTGAAGGTTAATTGCCGATAAGCACGGTAACCGCATCAGTCGTAGTCGTCCAGTGCCAAGCCAAAGAAAAGCCAAAGCCAAAGCCAAGGCTTTCCTCTTCGTTTCTCCATTCTACTGTTTTTCATTGAGTGCCATCATGACGCCTGTCGCTGATTTATCCAAGACTTTAGATCTCTCTATCTTGAGGAACAAATCTGCACTTGTAACGGGCGGAGCATCAGGCTTGGGGGCTTTGATCGCCACCAGCCTTGCAGAGAATGGGTAAGACTTGAGATTGAGCATACCTGAACGTCAAGCAGAGCCAACATGTGTTAGAGCTTGTGTCACGATCGCGGATATCAATGAAGAATTAGCCAAAGAATTTGTTGCAGCATCGAGCACGAAGGGATTACAGTTAGTCCACTGGTCACTTTTGGAGCTCTCGACATTGAAGCTGCTCTAAGATGAAACAGCCTCAATTATGCATCTACCGATGTGACAGACTGGCAGTCTCAAGTGAATGCTTTCAAGAGTGCAATAGAATTTTCGAACGGTAGGAGTATCGACGTGGTGGTCGCTGCCGCTGGAGTGCCAGGTCAGGCATTCATAACACAAGACGAAGAACCGCCATCTTTGGAAAAAGATCCGCCACAGCCACGGAGCGTTGGTCTCAATCTCGATGTGAACGCTAAAGGTGTACACTACACCAGCAAGCTGGCGCAGCATTACTTTGCACTGCCTCCCTCATCCGAAACCAAAGCGGCGCCGGACTTCCGAAAGGCTCTTGTGGTCATAAGCTCGTTGGCAGGCTATCTCGAACTTGAAAATGTCGACTACACCGCGTCTAAGTGGGCTATTAGAGGCTTGTTCCGTTCAATAAGATCCAAGATGGAGGATCTGGGCTACCGGATAAACCTGATTGCGCCCTGGATCATGGATACTCCGATGTCGAAAGATTTTGCGGATATGTGTAGGAAATTCGGATTCCCTGTTGGTGATGCCGATGATGTGGCCAAGGCTGTCATCAGATGTGCAGCGGACCAGACCCTCTACGGTTGAACCAAACTGTGATTCTGGGTATTCTGCTGCTGACATGGAGTGGTAGGCCGAGCTCTGGCGATTGCACCTACTAAAACATTTGATCTGCGAGATGATCTTGAAGGACTGAACGCCGGGATTAAGATGAAAGAATTTTTGGAAGGAGAGGCTAAAGAGTTTATGGAATATTTTGGCCAGAGGGTCTAGTTGGGGCTTCCTGTGGGGCATAAGTAGCACTCGGTCTGACGATGAAAGAGTTGTATACAAATTCATCCACAATGATGTAGCTGTGACTGTGGCCAGAGCCAGCCTGGATGTCTTGCTTGATTTCTCGAGGCACTCGATGCATTTTGAGGTGATGATCCCGCACCACCGATTTGGCTCTGAGCAACATTCATTTGTGAGCAAGCTGCAGGGTTTCTCCATCCCTCCAACGTTTGCTCCGTGGACGAGTTGGCATTCCTGGGTAGGAAAAACTTGTCCAGCGCACCACGGCAGTCTGTGTCTTAGGTTTGGATCCCTTGCGAGTAGGGCGTGGTCAACTCCCACAACCTTGTGAATGTAAGTTCGCTAAAGACACGACAGGCCGCACTCATTTCTATGTTACTCTCACAATCTCTGACACTCTCGGGAGTTGTCGCCAAGATCATAGGTGACGATTTGATTTTTTACAAGAAGAATGGACTTCTACAAGATGAATGCCTCCTTCTACTATGCTTCCCTTCAACGAGGATTTTTACTCAGCAGAGCTTGGAATGTGGTGGGAATATACTGGGCCTTGACAGCTATGGCGAGAATGAGATAATGTTCCTGCTCGACATGGCTTGGAACGGCACCCATCTTGATGCACAAATCCGCAACCTGGCCAATCAGCTCCATGAATCAGCTGGCCACGTTCTTGCGTAAAGTGGAGGCTCTGAAGGTTTCTAATACAATAACTCTGCCTTTCAAAATTAAGATCCGCCGGGCGTATATGGAGCCACGGGCCTCGAAAAGTTAAAGCTGCTTGAAAGAAACTCGACCCGAGTCCAATTGCTTGGGGCCTCGTCTCTGGAGGCTTCAAACCGAGGAATGCTGGGAAGTGAACGTGGACAGGCCTGGCCTGATAGCGTAACAATTGTGGGAGACGGGATGGGAAAGCATTGCTGCGATCGCCAACCCAGCCGATGCTTCGAAATTGACCTGATATGGAATAAGCTCAATGTATTGGACCGTACGGAGAAGACCTCACCGCGTGAAATTCGAGTGCCGTTACCCCGCACATTAGCTTGAGGATTCTGTGCGTCTCTGCATACAACGCAATTGCAGCTCACTACCTGATAATTTCAGCGCATCTTGTCCAGTCAACACCCATTAGCAACGAATCGGCCCTGCAATTCCTGGATGATTCTTCTCCTAGCACCCGTCGCAGTTGGCGCTGACTACTAAATCAGTATGTGTCTCTGCAGGACCCCGCAAATGCGGGAAATCCGCTCAAAATGCGACTCTGCAAGGTCCCGAGATCGACAAGAAATACCCCCAGATTTGTGGCCAGCTCCGTGGGCGTGGCTTAATCGGAATGCCAACGAACGGGTCCGACACGTAGGAGCAAACGGGCAAACAAGCAAACACGCCATCATCAAGGGTATATGTATCAAGTGCCTACCTTAGACTCAGAGCTGAGCATTTTGAGTCACAGAAGTGAGTGCTTGAGCTTGGTAGAGCAGTGGGGATCTGGGGCGAATTAAGACCACGTTCAGTCCTTCTTATGATTTGTACCCGTCCAACCTTCAACTATCAACTTTCCCGTGATCTCCGCTCCCCCAAACGCCTACAAAGCGATCGAATTAACAGAAAACTTCGGAAATATTCTTCTGCAGCACCGTGGCCAAATAGGGTCCCATTTCTGCAAGATCCCGCAAGGGACCATAAATCCACCAATGGCGGATCTCCGAAGCAATAGCTCTAAGATTTTCGAAGGATTCCTAGGCGCCTAAAGAGGCGAGCTGCGTCACTAGACATAGCTGGGTCCGCTCCTAGGGCTGCTCGTGACCAGTTTCCATGAGCTCAGCCGACGTGATCGACTGTGACACTCACAGCAGGTAAGAAGACTTCATTCTCGGAAAGACCTTCCACTAAGAAACTTCGCTAAAGGGCCGCTAGTCGTTGATTAAACTCTGATATAATTGGTTACGCCCGTTGTGAGAACTGCCGTACCTAAGCTTCTGCGATGCTCAGGGACGCATGTCCATCTTCCCTGCATCTTCCTTGCCGAGCCAGCTCTAAGTCTGCACGATCGTTTGCATCGAGATGCGCAGACTTCTGAACCTCTCACAGCTGTCGTCTGGGTCAGTCACATTTATGTGCACGGTCACCCTTTCCGTCACGTGTGTTGAAAGGCCAGATGAGACTCATAGGAATACAAATACATTTTTTAAATTCTTGGTCCCTCTCTCAAATAACCGTCTCAGTGCTCGGAATGGAGGCCAACCAATCGATCGAAGGCGCAGTTTCACCCAGCCCGAATTACGTCTCTGATGGCATCGTTCCAGTCAGCGCCGTATTCCTAACGCTCTCTACCTTTTTCTTGGCTCTGCGAGTATACACCAGGGTTCGACTCCTCAATGCATTTTATTCGGAGGATTGTGAGGTGGAGATATCCTGCTACAGAGGGTGCTTAGCTTACTTTGCGTAGATATCCTCGTCACTGCTTGGCTATTCAGTACTGCATGGACCATAATTTGCCTGGGTGAGTATCAGAATAGGTTTCGCACCGACCGAATCATTAACAATGTCGAACAGAACAGGAAGAGGACGAGACTAGAAGGCACCTATGGGCCATACCGAAGGAGGCCTTGATTGTCTCTTCGAAGGTAAGACTCTGCCGCACGTTTTTGTCTCTGTGTTTCACCTGTAGGTGCTCACCAGCTACCTAGTGGGCGGCAGCTTCAATATTTCTCTACGTCCCAGCAACCGCCCTCCCAAAACTCGCCATCCTAGTATCCTACCTGCGGATACTCCCCAACAAAAACATCCGTATCAGTGTCTACGCTGTCTTTTTCATCACCATTGGCTACATGGTTGCCTCCTGCTTGGCTTTCCTGCTCCAGTGTCATCCCGTTGCGCGGATATGGGATATGGTTATACCGGGTGAATGTCACGTCATATCCAACTTTCTTGTCAATGGTGTCTTCAACTTCGCTATCGACATCATGGTCCTTCTCCTACCAGTACCAGTGTTGATGGAGTGGAGAGTCAGTAGCCGCATGAGGGCTCTAATGGGAAGTGTCTTCGCCATCGGCTCATTGTAAGGCTTTCGCAAATACTGCCCTCTGATAAAGCCAGCGCATACCAATCAAGGGTCTAACATCCATACCACAGAGCATGTATCGTCAGCGCGGTCCGAATCTACTTCATCGCTCGCGGTCTAAACACCTTTCGAACGGGGATCGCCGTCATCATCGGCATACCCAGATCCCTTGGTGTGGTCGAAACCAACCTTTCCATAATCTGCGGATGTATTATGGTCATGCGACCGTTCTTACGAAGACACCTTCCTTTCCTCCTTGAGATCGGCTCTCAGCGTGTCGAACACAAACACGCTGGTGTTATCGATGACGAACAGCCACTAAAGGTGTTCAGCATTACCGTCGAGAGCAGACTGATGAAGACAGGCGCTGGCTTTGGTGGTGTCAATAGCAGCGCAGGCTGGATTTGGGATCATAGGAGCAGGATCGGCACCCGTGCTATCGTTGATACCGCCACTCAAGATTTGGACATGGAAGGCGCGAGAGATTGGCCTTTGAGGCATGATTTGTCGCCGAAAGCAGAAAGAGCTGACAACGTGATTGAAGAGATATACTACGCTAGTAATGACCCAGAGCTTGCACGAAAGACACAAACGACGCGGACCTTCAGCCGGGGACCCAAGTAATGGACTGTGGCTCCGAGACGAGAGGCATATCTAAGACACAGGCTCGCACAGTGAGCTTCATTACAGCTGCGAATCCTTGCGTGGTCAGGGAGACAAATTGGCCAGGCTTTTGGCGCTGACGTGCTGAATAGAGCACTACGGCGTCGCGATTGCTGTTAATATTTGGCTAGGCGTGTATAGACTTCTTCACTCGGCTCGTTACTGCAACAGGCCTCAAGACAGCTGACTCTGTGTGAAAAGACCGGATACAGCCTTGACTCTCATCCCAACAATCCTCCTCATACATTTGACACGCTCGCGCTTTCATTACCAATTGAAAGAGCATGATAGATTCTCTTGCCATTCTCGCACGATGCTGTCGCAGCTGCTCCCAATACCAACTTAAAGCACTGCGTTGAACATCTCGTTCGAACATCTCCTTCTCCTGTCTTCCAATCAGGTTACATGAGCAGTTCTCTGTCATAGGGCCATACTTCCACGATAATAGATCCTCGCAGTCGAAAACCAATCCTGAGATGCGGAGTTCATCAAACTGCCTCCGGTTCTACTACTCACGACGGGGTCTGAGGGTTGGAAGTCGTACTAGATCTCTCACACATGTCTGTTGTCGCGTTGACGTCCAGAGTGCGAACGGCGAAGCTTTCGCTGTGATCTTGACCGCCCAGGAATCCGGCGAAGGGGTTGAAGTCGTTGTTCTTAGAGGCACAGAGACCTCGAAGGAGACAATAGATAATGACCCGCTCTATTTGCGGCGAAACACAAACGCAGGTCAATCCCTTGGATAACTATCAATCAAACAGGAGGTCTCTGCAACCTCTAGAAAGAAAAGCGTGAATCATGAACGTGCTCCTTTCGTCCCAAACAGGGTTTCCGCAACTATCGGTGTAAGCTCCACACCATAAACTTTTTATGTTCAACGCACTTTGCGGATTTGTCGTGTAAAATCGTACGTCTTGCTGTGTCATACCTAGCATACAGCGGTGTATATCTAGGCATGTAGCACGTGTGGTTCTGCACGTGCAAAGATAGTTCCCGTTGCGGTAGCTTCCCTGTCTGGGTGGGTGCAAGACATTCTCATCACCACAAGACTCTATTTTGTATTCTGGGACCGCATTCCGTCCAATGTTGCGGGTCTTTGGAGGAGGATCTACCAACGATGGCTTGCCATGACGACTCTGAATCGAGAGAACGATTAAAAAAGGAGCATTTCAGAATACCTCGGATCCCGACCGTCTCGCTGCCGGGTCCAGTACAAAAAATACTTGATCATGATCTTTGGGTCAAGCGTGGAGCATTAGGGTAAATAGAGGCCTTGTTATTTGGTGGTTGTGTGGTTGGTGTAGAGTGTCTTTGGCACGATTATGATGGGGCCAGTGGTTATGATGAGGAAGAGGAAGAATGTTAGGGAGGAGCAGGCGAGGTTGATGGTTGATCGGGAGCTAGAGTCGATATGGATGAGTGGGAAAAGGGGAGAGGGCAAGAACGGCGAGAAAGAAAAAAGTCAAAAATCGTCGGGGAGAGCTGGGGATCCTAGGGATATGTTCGGCCGAAGGAAAATGATTGTGAACGCAATAATGGGTCGAGTCCGTTAGAGGCTGGGTTAAATCGCAATCGCTCATCGGTCTTCGCCCCTCCCACTTAACCTTAAGTCTAATTCCCTATCAACAAGAGGGACCGACTTAGTGTGACCACTCCCCGGGGACGATCACTGATAGGAGCTGCAATATGCTATCGCGGCAATCGGATATATACTTAGCACCCTACATGGAAATCCAACAACCTTGATACGCGCGAGGATGATACGGGTGTGGTATATCATGAAAGTGCTGTTTCTAAGACTTCTGGTGATACTCTTGTGTCAAAAATTTTCAAGATGTGGGTTCACTATCTTCTTCTCCTTCAAGTCCCTTTCCTTACGTTCACACCTTCGCTTTCTGCACCACCCTCGCTTTCTCCATTCCGCAGTCTAAACCCGAATCTCACATACCCTTGCACTCTCTGGCTCCCCGGTTCCTCCAAGTATGTTCAAGGCCATCACTGAAAAGACAGCGAGTGATTAAAAGGACTTGCGAGCAGTAATCTACCCCCTTCGCTTTACTCTTACCGCGTTCCTTGCACCAATGTCACAATCACATTCTACAATTATGGTCATTATCTCAGCGACGCAATTGTGAGTCATCCTCTCGTTATCATCTTGTGGCCTTGGTGTTACATCCCCTGCTGCAGAGTCGATCGTGTTCCCCAATCATTGCTCAAGAGAAACAAAGACACTAACTCCGAGACCTTCGAGGCGACCCAAATGGTCATCGGGGCCGGCTACGAAGACGCTGCAGCACACCAACCAGATAATGAAATAGACACACAAGAGCTACGTTATAGTGAACGGTATGTTGACAGGGTGGACATGGTGGTTCGGCCAAGGGAGGAAATGACATGGGAGACATGGAGGTATGCGTTACTGGGCATCGGGAAGTTCATGCAGAACTGGGAGTATGTTGAGTTGAGCTTTGATATATTTGTCCTCGGATTGGGAAGAGTGGGGATTGGGAGACTGTTTTGGGAGGGTGGGACTGGTTTGGATAGATGATGGGTATTCCTGGAGTCGTGCGTTTTGACTTTCGCATAGACTCGGTCGTCACCTGTCACCTCTTTCTACCGGTAAGAATCAAATTTCTCTCCCAGCCACTTGGACAAACAGGGAGCCTCGTAGTTTCTACACAATAATTCCAAGGAAATGCTCACGTCGGAGGGAAGACCTTCTGGGCAACAGTGCATGACTTAAAGCCTGGCTTAATAGCACGTAGAAGATCGAAAGTCTGAAAAGATGTCATTTTGGCAAGCCAATCAAGGTGTTGTGTTAGTCCTACCGGTGTATAGATACCATATCACTAATCCAAAGCATGCTCTTGAATGAACAGAAGAAGAATCTGTTCAGATTCATAGGCCAATTTCTCTACTACCGAGCAGTTTCAGGGCTCTTCCAGCCGGATGAACGTGAGACATAGATAGCTTTATGAGAAGGGTGTTGAAAGCCCCGTCCAGAGCTCAGATTAACGGTCAGCTAAGCTCAACCCTAACGCTTCAGGGCACCTGCAAGACATGATCGACATTGAGGACTAAGGTTCATTTAAACAACTAGCAATAGAGAAACCATCGATGTAACCACTATAATGCCACAAAAGAGATACCGCCAGGCAAGTGGGGGTCTGGACTCATTCAAAAAAGACTGGTCGGTCTGCAGGTCCAATCGGCCTTGGAGACGCACGGCAGCTTTTTGTCAAAAATCTAGAATGGGCGACGGAGATTGCGCATAACCCTATGTTGTATGTCTTGAATTCCAATGAGGCGAATATCTTGTGGTGGTATCATTTAGTTTTCCGCCTTGATGAGATGAAACGTGAAGCCTTTCATTTATGTTTGACTTAGCGATACGAATACACCGCGGAGCTACCAACTTGCCGATCAGTACTCCATGTGAAGAACTTCATGGCAGCGATGTAGTGCGGGAGTGAAATGGACGGCGAAACGTTCTGCAGGCCGTGACAAAAGAGAATAGGGCATATTCACCCCCTCTCAATGCTAAATCCTGCGCTTTCCTTCATTTCCTGTTCATTTCCTGCAGTTAAATACAATTTAGGCAGCCCATGATAAGGCCATCCCTAATTTGAGATACAATGGAAGATTCTTTGGAGGAATTGAGCCCTGGCCGTGGATTTAAGTGCTCGGGGTACTAATTATCACCCCCCACGCTCCACGCGGCCCGGAGGATATTCGAGACTTTTTAGCCTTCATGCGACCCGCCCGGACGAAACCACAACTGTAGGAAGATTGTCGTCTCATCAGCATCCTCTGCGACAGTTATCTTAGACCTTGTGAATACACGCTATCCCACGTCGATAGGAGTGAGACTCTGTGGCGTCTGCAAAAACTCCCAAAGATACTTTTGCCCTGCTTCGAAACGAGAAGCCTGGGAGAGATGACTTGTCTGACAGCCTGAGACAGCAAATATGCTTCTGATGCCGCTCTTACTGGCTCAATAACTGCTTGTGACCAAGGCCATGGGGACCCAAACGCCTTGGAGCTAGGCTACCAACCTACGGCAAGTCACGATGAGGGAGGAAGATCATCTATGCCCTTCACTCTGAGGAGAGGGAACAGAACAGTTCAATCGGTATTTTCCTGTATTTTGGGCATCTCAGAATATTAGCGTCAATCGGAAACTCGAATATGCAGGTTCGCAGATCATACGGAAATCTTCGCGGCTTGTATTCTTGCTGTTTCGTATCTCCTGGATCATGCCAACCGTACCACACGCTCCCAGTATCCCGCCTTCTACCCGTCTCAGAACTTCTGCCTAGAGAATGTTATCTGGGCCTCCAATTAAGGGGGTAAGTCTAGCACAGCGTGAAGGAATCCGTGCTCGGCTCCATGGTCTTCTGGGTGACATGCATACACTTCCTCTTGCCGTCGGTCAGCTAACAGTCATCATGCCGCTATCAATGTATCATTCTAGTTTCAGGCGTTCATAGCGGGCGTGGAGTCATACGGCATCTACCAAATCTTCCAACTCCATATGCTTATATCGACCCCCTCGTCCCTATTTACGACCTCCAGGTTCTGAACCAGGCTTCTCACAACAACGAAGCGTTATCCTGTGCTGGAGACTAAGATCACCTTTTGAGCCGGCACATCGTCAAGATTACCAGAAAGGTCCGCAACAACATCCAATCATGTACTCGATTAGCTTGCTCCTGCTCCTCGCGAGTACTGGTTACCCTGAGGGTACCCGAGCAGCAGGCGGACATGTCTCCAGGCGTCAAGGCTCTACACTGGTGCCATTGTGGGGGGCTTGCAACTATCCTAGCCAAGGCATCAACGGACCGCTACCATGCGCCTCAGGAAGTGAATGTATTTGTAAAGACGACAGTACGTACAGAATCTATATATTCCATTCGATACTTGGCGTTGGATCCATCAGGATCTACCATGGGAGTTTCTGATGATTGGAACAGCATATGCACAATGTCGTGAGCAAGTCGGCGGTTCTTGGGCTCCCGAGTCCTCTTGGCAATGCCAACAACCTGGGGACACTGCTACGGACTCCTCAAGTTCGACCACTTCTTCCACCGGTGATACTAGCTCTGGAAGCGGCACTGGCAATGGCGCCTCACCGAACACCAACTCCGATACAGCATCTGGTAGCAGCAATTCACAGGCTGCTACCACAGGTGACTGCACCTCTACCAGCGCACCAGGTGGTTGGGACGGTATAGCTTCTACGTCGGTAAGTTTTTGACAATCATTAACCTTCGTGGACCATTGCTGAATTTGTCATAGTACTATGGCTGGATGGGCAGCTCCTGTGACTGTGGACAGAATTCTTGGGAATGGGGCGGCAGCTCTGGCGTCTATAACGGCGCCGTCAACCAGAAGCTCTTCCAAGGCAAGATCAACGGCGGTGGCCAACCGAACTGTGGAGAGGCCTGCGGTGGCTGCTATGAGCTCTTTACAAGCGGCTTCAATGCCTACAACGATGGCGTCGGAAGCGGTTCCATGATCACGCTGCAGATTGTCGATTCCTGCTATTCTGCGGGAGACCATTGGTGTGGGAGCACGAGCGATGATTACAAGGATAGTTCGTTATGCTCGGTGCATTTTGATATCCAGACAGGTCCTCCTTGGTCACATGGTCAGGCAGCTGTCGGGTCCGATGGAACCACTTGGAATGGTGAGCGAGATTCGAACCCTCGATATGTTGAATTGAGTGCTGATTGATACAGGTGGTGGCCAGATCGTCTATTACAGGCAGACGTCGTGTCCGCAGACGTTGACGTCTGGTTACACATCGAGCTGTACCTGTTGAAGTGGAGGATTGAAATCTTGCGCCTAGTGCGTTTACGAACTGTTAGGGAAGAATCATGGACGAAGATGTTGCACCAGCTGCAAGGCTTGATATCCTTCCTGTGTAACATTAGGTTGGAAGTTTGAAATACTTGCCACATACATGATGTAGAACTCAGAGCACGGCCATAATATCCACTCGTAGTCTCCTTGACAGCGCCTGTAACACTGGGAGTGGCTATCCTCGACCTTAGACGCTCATAGCCCGTGAAATCCAATTGCGTTACGTCTTACCAGGACTGGTCGCAGGATTCTCCGTAGAAGAGTTGGACGACTTGATAGCATCTCGCAATTTTCGGCCTTAGTGGGGCTTCTTGGCTGGTGTATATGTACTCGAACTCTCAAGTTGTTCGTGAGAACTCAATCCCGCCTCTTATACCAGATACTAAGAGTCTACTCGTGCTCTTGCAACTCACTCAAAATCCCGAGACCCTTGAATGGCGCTCTCGTCATTGCGCGCCGATGTTTTTGTAGCTCCTGCAATCCCTGCAGTTCCTGCAATTCCAATCCCCCGATAACATAACACAACTATGGACTCCCACCACCGCCACGCTTATATCCTCTGCTCATCAAGCCATTCTCGTGGACCCTCTTGTCACAACAAAACAGGCCAAACCTTTGCCCGACTGGGTCGAAAATCTTTTCCCGGACCGGCACTTGACTTGCCTTTACGTAACCCATGGGCATGGAGATCATTTCTTTGGCCTTTCGACTCTTCAGAAGCATTTCCCAAACACCACTGCTGTCGCTAATAAAGGTACCCTTGCCCACATGGAGGAGCAAATCTCACCGAACGATCAAGTATTCTTGAGGACATGTTTTCCAGGGGATCAGATTATATTTCCGGATTTCCGGCATCTCCGCCGGCGAAGACTCTTCCTTCGGATGATCTGACCGTTGACCTTAAAAGTCACACGCTGGTGGCCGTACCGGGCTACCATTCCGACATGGAAGATGGGTCCTTCCTGTGGGTCATTGATCTAAAATGAGGGTCACGGGCGACATCGTCTGAAACAATGCTTGTTCGTATCTTGCGAAACCCCTCACTAGCGCTGAGACAGAAATAGATCCAAGCGATTGAGCAGGTCAAATCCTTTCACCCAGAGACTTAGTCGTGGACCACAAGCAGCCTGGGGCAGCTGATGGATCGTGGACGTTGAGTGCAACACAGACTTCCATCAAGTTGTGGGACGGACAGGCAGATCAAGCGAAGAATGCGGAGGACATGTTTGCAAGGATCAGGGGCCCTGTTCCAGACAAAATTAGGGACTTCATGCTATAGTGGTCTTCTCTGCAGCAGCTCCCTACTAATAGCTCTACTAGAGCTTGAGATCAAGTCACCTAAATGGAGGGCGGACTAAGTCTTAGGCGTTGGAGAGAGTGGTGAGTAGGCTGGGAGGTGATACTTTTATGGATGGCGCGCATTGTTGGCTGCACGGTGTTATTCATTATCAGCATTGTTAGCTGCGTGGTGTTAGTCATTATCAATCCTACTACACGTATACATGTAGTTAATGTAGTGAATTAGCGATGGATAAGGAGAACCTGTTTGACATGTTCTCCATGAGTGTTTTTAGCTGTCAAGACAGGTGCGACCGAGGCAACTCAGATTTTTCATGAACGCTTTTCTCAGTTTCGCGCTAGGATGCTAGCTAATTAGATCGGCCGCTAGAGTACTCTAGCGAA